TAAAAAAATATGTTTTTTATAAAAATTTACGCACTAAATTTTCGTCTTTGGAACCCAATTGCAAAGAAGCTACAGTGAGCACATTCATGAGATATACACTAAACGAAGCAGAATCACGAGTTCTACGATCCTATAATTAGTTTATTCTATTGTCTGGGTGCGCATCCTAATTATAAGAAAAAATCAAAAAACACCGAAAATCCAACTTCAAAATGTCAGCATCCATTTTGGGTGGATGCAGTGATTATATCGAAAAATCATACATTAGAACCATATTGTTCATGGGGTATTCTGCAACTTAGTCACTGATCACATGTGTGTGCGTTGTGTAGTTTAGCCACAAATCGGGAACGAACACAAAAAAACTCGTTGGCTTCAACACATTTTCACCCATTTTTTTACATTACCACCATCACAGCTTCCACGCAACTTATTATTTATTACCAATATTTCAAGATTTTGACAAGAACACTTCATTTTATAGAATTGAATTTAAATTATATGCAATATGTTCATATTTCGCGAGTTATAACCTTGCAAACCTCAACTTCAAGGAATTTAAAAGATTTTTGTAATTTCCCATATATATATATATATATATTTGGGCAATATTGCCAATTTTTTAACATAGCCGAAGCGGAGGTTCATCCGTTTATAACTCGGGAATTACTTAAGTATATAAAAAAAATGAATAGTTTTGGGTTAATTGATGTGTCGTTGCAAACTGTTCATGATATTGACCTCCAAACTTTATTTGGGTGGAAGCTGCGTCTACTTTAATGTAAAAAAATGTGTAAGAGCAGGTTGAGGCGAACCAGTTTTTTATGTTCTCTATCGGTTTGTGATTAAGCCACTCATTTCACGGTCTTCGTGTCAAAGTAAAACTAGAAGCCCAAATGGGGACTACGGCCCTTATGTATCATTTTTCAAAATTTTAACTGCATCTACCGTTAAATGATGCTGACATTTTGAAGCTCGATTTTGAGTGTTTTTTTTTTTAATTTTACTTCTAGTTTCAATGCGCAAACAGGAATTTCTAAAAATCGATTATAAAATTATTGTAGTCGCGAATCTGACTAATTTGATATATATTCTGTGTATTTAGTATGCACAGCATCAGAGTAATACTCATCCAAAGGTAAAAATTTTGTGCGATCAAATTTCTAATCAGAGTAATAATCATCCAAAGTTGAAAATTTTGTGCGATCAAATTTCTAAAAAACCTATTTCGGGCCAAATTTTTAGATCTGTCATATGAATGATATGTGTACCCGCGATCAGTAAGGTTTTTTACTTTTCGGATGATACAAAATCGTCTTCATGAAAATCCATCTACTTGAACGGCGTGAACTGGCCTTCCAAAAACACGAAATTTTGCAAAACATGTTTTTGAATATATCGCGGATTTAATTGCATTTTCTGTGGATCATTTCCGCTTCAATAATGACCTGATTCGGTTATTGATCTTCGTCGAAAACAGAAATTTAAAAACTTCAGTCGAAAGAGAGATGTACCCAATTTATCTCAAAAATTGTATGAGTTGGGTCATCCATGGTTCATAATGGACCGCATTGAAATCGGTATAGATCGATGTATGTATGTATTATAAGATATTTAAGCCTGTAGCTTGTGTTTAGGGGTTGAGAGAAGATATAAAATCGTAGTGCTTAACCCTATGGGCTAGGTTTTTAAGTACAGGGGTCCCTCTCCAAGTGAAGAGACGTTAAGATATTGTTAAGGTAATATATTGCTTGTTTTAAGCTTTGGAGTAGTCTTTTTATTTAATTTAATTTTTAATTTAATTATTATTTTGTTTGTTTTCAAGGCAGCAATTAATAACTGTGGAGTTAAAAGATTGTTCAACATTTTAAATGATTTGTATGCAACTATGCATAAATCTAAGAATGCCAATTCTTTCCCGGATATTTTCATTCGTGTTCTTATACATTGCAAAGGCTGAAAACAATTAGGGTACTAGTAAAAAATCGGCCGGCATGCTTATTTTATATTTATTTCTTTTGTAGTCCAAAATCTAGTTTATACAATTTTGGTTTTTTTCGCAGAAAAGTTTTATTTTCCTACTAGCGGGACCCGTGGCGCTTCGCTACCCCTGCTGAAGTTATCAACATTAAAATTTAGATATGATCAATTAGTATGCATCCTATCCTATTTAAATTTAGGTAAACCCTGGAATTTTTATATTCTCGCATTAACACTACAAAAAAGTGTGAAGTGTTGTAGTAGTTGTATAGTAGTAATTAAATAATTCGCCGTTTTCTGTAATGGTGACAATTTTTGTTTTCTTGAAACGCATTTTTTCGCAAAGTAACAACAATTCAAAAATGATAATGTCAATACTTTTTATCAATTTTACACAATCGATCACCTCCGTCTGTAACCTCCTCTACAAAATGGTATTTAAACAAAAATAGTGGTGTATCTGAATTTATCCTATGCCAGTCTCTGACTTGTTTCAGATGATAAAACGATTTATAATTAAAATGCACACTAATCACTTCGATGTTTTTTTTTTTAAATCCAAATAACATTTTGTTTGATTTTCTTCAAAATAAACATGTTTTTACAAACTGACGAAAATGGAATTTTTTTTTCGCTTTGACACAATTTTTATTTCAATATACATACATATACACCTAAGTCTGTTTTTACACGGTTTTAATATAACATGGTTTGAAAATTTAATATTTTTACTTTTTTTACACGATTTTATTCCATTTAGCATGATTTGAAATTTTATGTACTTAAATTTTTTTTGTCAAATTTAATTTTTGCGAAGTATATTCATATCACAATCAATGTCTTTTTTACACGGTTTTTTTTTACACGGCTTCTTCTGGAACCAATCTACCGTGTAAAAACAGACTTAGGTGTATATGTTTGTATTTCAAAATATATCCTCATCGCATGATGAGTATTTGTATCCATGTTACTCTACAATATTTTCAAACCGCTCACTTAAGATATACCCATAAAAAATGTTATACATACATATGTACATTTTTTCAGATGTATGAATACTTTTGATGCTATTTCTTCTTAGTTTTATTTGTTTTTCATTTGTTACTTCCATGGGATCGCTTGACTTTCTATGAACATTTTAGTAAAATCTGTTTAGTGAGTCCACAAACAATTGGTCTGTTTCCGTACTGCAAGAATTTACTCGATTTTATTATTTTCTTCGATATAATAAAGGAAAATTAGATTAGAATTAGATCGCTTGACTTTCTATGAACATTTTAGTAAAATCTGTTTAGTGAGTCCACAAACACTTGGTCTGTTTCCGTACTGCAAGAATTTACTCGATTTTATTATTTTCTTCGATATAATAAAGGAAAATTAGATTAGAATTAGATTCTTGCAGTACGGGAACAGACCAAATATGTTTTCTATTTTCTACGTATAGATTTAAATGAAATGAGGTGTGTATTTTCCCTTGTCGATTTTAATATTTTCTTCGATATCATAAAAGGAAAATTAGATTAGAATTAGATTCTTGCAGTACGGGAACAGACCAAATATGTTTTCTATTTTCTACGTATAGATTTTATTTTTTATTTTTTTTTATTTATTTATTTATATATTTCATAGTGCCCAGTCTTTCGACCTTAAGGCTGTAAGCTACATTTCACAATTAAATATAAAATTTATCGTATTAAGCGGCTTAAATGTAAAAGGGAGGGATATTGAACTACTAAAGAATATTATACCGATTAAATTACAAAAAAAAAAGTTTTTGATTATTATAGATTATGATTAAAAAATTTGATTAATTGGATAATGACTACTCCAGTAGGAATGGAATGGAAAATTATTATATATAAAAATGAGTTGTGTTTTTATCTAAATAATTTGTATCACAAATATAAAAAAATTAACATACATACGTAGATTAAAAAAAAATTTAATTGAATTTGAATTTAATTGAATTAAATGAAATGAGGTGTGTATTTTCCCTTGTCCGCGGTCATGTTGTGTGGATGATGCGTATTTATATATATAGATGACATTTTGTCCATATTGATGACAAATATATGCAGAAAGGTATTCTAAGGTATTCTTCTGCAATATTATTTTCATTACCAAGTTTACTTGCAAGAACGTTATAAACAACAATATATTTTTTGTTTTTTTATCCTCAAACCAAATACTGATAATCGGAAATCTAGTGGTAGCAATTTAGAATACTTTCATTATTATACATGAGTTGTTAAAGATTATTATTTATTCTTCAAACTATAAATTTGACAGTCAATGAAGACTTCGAATTCGCCTCCTTGCTAACCTTATGAATAAACCTTGATTACATCTTTATGAAATAGATACGTGGCAGAACGGAAGAATAGCAGCTATAATGGTAGTAAAACAGCTCCCATTTTGAAAAAATGTTGAAATTTGCCTTTATAAACGTAAATAAATTTGACAATAAATTTATTTTCTACAGCATTGCCATACTGGAATTGTTTAATTCGGTATAAATTCAGTTTTATGCAATAAGGATAATGTACAAATTAATTTGAATTAAGACTGTCGTTTGTCTAGGCTATTGCTTTCATAATTTCTACATATAATTGGTTGACAAAATTTTCTACTACGTCTACAACGAAATAAATTGTCCGGTCACATTGGGCTCGTTATAACTGTTTGTATTACCATGCCTCTGTTATGCCCGAAGTCAATGTATATATTTATTATATTTCATTAACTATTTTCTCAATATGCACCTTGTCAAGTCTTTACGGTTTCTGTCTTTGAGTAAATTCAAAAAATAATTCTTACATGCATTGGTAGCTAAAAAGTAAACTAAGATAATCGAAGGCCACATTTAGTGATATTTAATAAATTAAGTCTTGCCCAAATAATTGAAATTTTTTATTTAGATATCAAGTGATCATATTAAGATGAAACAACTTACAATAAATTGATTGCTTAATAATTCATACTATTGTGCTAAACATCTTTGTATTATTTGATAAACGTTTTTAAAACTTGTACTGAAATTGCTTGAAGGCCTTAGGAGTATCTTTCCGTAACGTTGGCTTTGTTTTGTCGCTTTCATTCTGGTTTATAAATAATCCTAGGAACTGTTCATTTTGTGTTTCCGAAAGTGGCATATCCAATTCACTACACGACTTAATTATTTCGGCACATGCACGTAAATCTCTTCTTTTATCTGCAAGTTTCAAAATACATTAAAAATTGACATGTTCCGATAATCAATTCATACTTACACTGGTAGTTAAAGAGCAAGCTAAGACAATTGGAGCACGCTTCCCTTTCATTATATCGAAGATAAACCTCTATCAAACGATGTACAGCATCTACATTATTGCGGCTCAGAAATGATCCACACAATGAAACCGACCTGAAACAGGAAAATGCTACTTAAAATCATACACTACAGTCATTAAATCATTTTGAAAAATGTTGTTTGTGTAGCTAAAAATATCCAAATATGTGAAATATATTCACATTTGGCAAGAAGGCATTATGGTTAAAATAACACAGTAATAGTAATATAACAGTATAGCACAACTGTCAAATCTGTCCCTTCATTCACGCCCTTTTATTGGACTTTTGTGTAAAAGAAAAACATGCAGAACTATTAAGTAAACGAACTGATCGACCTATTTTGATAAATCCCACAGCAGTCGCTTCCATGTACCGGACGTCTTCCCAGACGCTGGAGTCATTATCAATATGGATTTCGGAAATAAAGAAAATACCACAACATCATTCCACAAATATAAATACAGGCCTGAACCAAACAGGTCGTGCAACATTGTAATGTCCCTTAACTTATACAAATTCTTCGATACGGGCAACCGCGCAAACTTTACGAGGATATAGATAATCAACTATGTGTGTCAAGAAGAAGACACAATTCCACAATCACCGGACAGTGATTGATTAATGTATGAAAATAAATTTACGATCATAGCGTCGCACAGAGTTGCCGGGTTCTTGTAAGACTGGACAAACTAGATGGAGTGGCTCAATCGTAATGAAACTTTGTGGGACTAAAGAAAGAAAAATACAAACTTTGGTTCATATCGGTTCATATTTGGATATAGCCCCCATATATATTTTTTATTCCGATTTGATGTAAATGCTGCAGCAAGCTCCCAAGGTTCGTCCGATTATGACGAAATTTCGCATTGCGTATAAAATGGAGTGTTTAAAGTTTCGTGGAAATCGGTGCAGATTTAGATATTGCTCCCATACATAGTTCCGTCCGATTTCTGGTAAATTGGTAATAAAACTTCTAAGGTTCGTCTGATTGATACGAAATTTTGCATATCTTATAATTGTCAAAAAGTCAGATTTTTTTTTGCATATCTTATAATTGTCAAAAAGTCAGATTATTTTTCAAAATTTGGCACAGTTTAATACAATTTAAAAGTTTTATCAAATATAAATATGTATATATTGCTAAAAATGTCATTATATTGTAAAATTTGTCACATAGAGGTTTGACTTGTCAAAGAGCCAGATTACTGTTCAAAATTTGGCACAAAAATCTTTCTAGTTCATCATATATTAACTGTTCCCTGTAAAATAAGAACGCATTTCTGTCGTACGTGGCCCATTAAATAATAATGAGAGCGAATAACGTCGGTCAAATGACCCGTCAGAACATGGGATAAGGCACCGTATAGGTACATTTTTTGGTCTTGGGCTATTGAATTTGATTCATGCATAGCTTATGGGCTAGAGGTTTTATTATCCAGTATGACAATTCTCACTCGTACAAATACAAAATCCAATGTACCATTGAATGGGGGCTATATCTAAAGGTGAACCGATATTGATAATTGATTGAGTGTGATTTAAAATATCAAACTACAGTACATTCAGATGAAAATCGTGTCAGTACACATTTTTATAAAGCTTATCGTAGAAGTATATGTGCAACATATTAGAGCTCTAATTAATTGCGATCTCCATCGTGATACTTTCACAGGAATGTGTATTCTTACCTTTTGGCTACCATCTTCTGAAGTTCTTCATAGTGCATTAATAATTCTCCTGCTGATTTTTGATCACAAAACCAGTCACTCACGAAACATTGCTTCCACACGCAAGCTATAACGAAAATATCGTGATGTTCTTCATATATACTCCGTGCAATTTCCATCAGATGTACTAGTACAGCCTCACTCTTTTTCACTAACGTCTCTTCTGTAATTGTTCGAAAAGCAATTCTGATCATCCGTTTCCCATCATTGGAGGCTTTTTCGTATCCCATAGATAGGGTTTTTAAAGCTAAATCTGCACTATCACTTCTCCACAGTGCCATAGCCTTAAAGGGTGCAAGGTCACAGTACATATTTGTCAAAACGTGATTTTGTTCTTGACAAATTTCCGCAATTGATTCTATGTATTGTACTCTGGACAAACTGCTAAGGTATTTGAGACATGCCACTAGAACTTCAGTTGAAGGCAGTTGTTGCCATCGTATGCATTGCTTCACCAAGTATAAGAAATCCAATTTGTTTTTTATTTCCAAAGTGGAGCTAAGCAAATTATCTAACTGCGCCTGGGACAAAGACCGTATGTCAAGCCCCAATTCCGGAGAACGAAGGGCTTGTATATCGCTAATTACGCCTCTCGACATTAAGCCGAAGTTTTTCGAAAATGTGTTGCATGTACCATCTGAAGTGTTTTCTGCTACAACATTTGACTTTCGACCATCCTTGATAAGAGTTTCTACACCAGAACCCATCATGTTGCCTCTTATCTCTTCCCATTTTTTACTTTTGCGTTCCACAAGTTCGTTCGTGAAACTGTCGATAGCGTCAATATGAGTGGATTTGCATTGGACTCCTCCTCCACTTGCCAATGCTGGCCACAAAAAAGATGTAATACATTTTTGAAAGCGTTGTAGAGCTGCTTTTTGAGGCGATGAAGGAGCAGTGACAGCTCCAGAGCTCAAGCGGGCAAGCATAGCCATGACTGCTATGATCTTGTAACCTGAGTGTCTGCTTCTTCTCCAATACTTGATTTTATTTTAGTACATATTGCCCCCAACAGCCTACTTCTGTCCACCCAATCGAATCCAAAATTATTTTGTAACTAGTTCAAATCAACTATTCTGTGAATAGAATATGCCGAACTATTTACAAATGATACAATTATTTGAGCAAAGAAAAATGACCGATAAAGGTGACATAAAACAAAATCGTTGTTAACGAACCATAAGGGCATGATATCAGCTGTGAACATTTGTTGATACCCAGCGAAATGTTTGAGGATAACGCGTTAATGGTTTTGCCTGTACTTTGCCTGTAGGGGGTGCTTTAGATTTGTCCACTTACATGCCGAATTTTAAAATTTTTATTTTTAATTGTGCACTTTTTTCGTTTGCATTTTCGATAACAAACATATAAATAAAAAAAATAATAAGAAAAATAAATACAAATTGTATAACTTTCGGGCATGTTCTGGCATTCACTTAAACGGTAGAAGTGTATCGAACATACGTCGAGCTGTTTTGTAACACACTACACCTTTGGTGAATTCTTTACACGTACATATTCATATTGTGATATATAAAAGAATATTATTTTTGAAATAAAAAATGCACATGATGATAAATTAATATGTTATTATTGTATATAATTTGTTTAAAATCACAAAATTAAGATACTAAGATTTTTGTTGCTTTTTTCCAAATGAATCTCTCGCTTGACACAAACAGCTAATTGTGAAAAAAGAGGTTGTGAGTAATAATTTATTCAAAAATTAGTAGTGTTGACGGATTATTTGGGATACCATTTGTATTTTGTTTTTGCAAAATAGTCAGCCTGAATCCCAGTTTGTTGTTTTATTAAAACAAGTGAAAAAGCGGTAAGTTCGGCCGGGCCGAACTTTGGATACCCTCCACCATAGATATATTGACAGGTACTATAAATGAAAATATAGGGAACATACCAAAAAGTGCACCTATACCGACATTTCTAAAAACGGATTATGTAAACCATAATACAAATTTTAGAAAATTTTAAAGGATAATTATACCCTCAGCCTTATGGCTAATTAGTGTGTATACACTTTCACACGGTGAAAATGTGCCTCATCGAAATATTGGTTCTAGACCCCATGTTTCTTTGGACCAAATCCGTTTCAGAAAATTTAGATTTCATCCGAACTTTGCCCATCTTATTATTTCTTCCAAACTTAGTTCAAATTCGAAGATGGGGAATATCGGTCCACTCCTTCTTGAACCTCCAATCAGGGGCTAGGTCTAAATGCGGCTATAGTTCACTACCGAACCTAACGTTCTAATTTTTTATCTCTCTATCCTCCGCAGTTGAAATGATTACAAAAGGGTCTTAGAACCAAACCCAAAACGCGCAACAAATCAGATAAATATTTTAATATAAAAAAGGGGGTATATGGGGACTACCCCAAAAAGGGGGCGAATATTAATAATTTTTGGTAGGGAGATTTGTTACCATATACCACTACAAAATACCAAATTGCAGCAAATTCGGTTGAAAACGGCGCTCAAGAACCCCAAAATACCGAAAATTGGGGGTACCCTTATATGGGGGCTATCCGAAAAAATGGACCTATATTCATAATATTTTGTGGAGAGATTTGGAAACTATTAAGAACTCAATGTACCAAATTTCAGCGTATTCGGTAGAAAAACGCGCTCAAGAACCCCAAAATACCAAAAATTGGGGGGTATCCGTATATGGGGGATATCCGAAAAAATTGACCTATATTTATAATTTTTTGTGGAGAGATTTTGTACCTATTAAGAACCCAATGTATTAAATTTCAGCGTATTCGGTTGAAAAACGAGCTCAAGAACCCCAAAATACCGAAATTTGGGAGGTACTGTTATATGGGAGCTATGCCTACACGTGGACCGATATATCCCATCTTCGAACTTGACCTGCCTGCAGACAAAAGACAACCCTATGCAAAATTTCAGCACCCTATCTCAATTCCTTCAGAAGATAGCGTGATTACAACAGACGGACGGACGGACGGACGGTCGGACATGGCTAGATCGTCTTAGAATTTTACCCTGATCAAGAATATATATACTTTATAGGGTCGGAAATGAGTATTTCGATGTGTTACAAAAGGAATGACAAAATTAATATACCCTCCATACTATGGTGGAGGGTATAAAAAGGGGGTATATGGGGACTACCCCAAAAAGGGGGCGAATATTAGTAATTTTTGGTAGGGAGATTTGTTACCATATACCACTACAAAATACCAAATTGCAGCAAATTCGGTTGAAAACGGCGCTCAAGAACCCCAAAATACCGAAAATTGGGGGTACCCTTATATGGGGGCTATCCGAAAAAATGGACCTATATTCATAATATTTTGTGGAGAGATTTGGAAACTATTAAGAACTCAATGTACCAAATTTCAGCGTATTCGGTAGAAAAACGCGCTCAAGAACCCCAAAATACCAAAAATTGGGGGGTATCCGTATATGGGGGATATCCGAAAAAATTGACCTATATTTATAATTTTTTGTGGAGAGATTTTGTACCTATTAAGAACCCAATGTATTAAATTTCAGCGTATTCGGTTGAAAAACGCGCTCAAGAACCCCAAAATACCGAAAATTGGGGGTACCTTTATATGGGGGCTATCCGAAAAAATAGACCTATATTCATAATATTTTGTGGAGAGATTTGGAAACTATTAAGAACACAATGTACCAAATTTCAGCGTATTCGGTAGAAAAACGCGCTCAAGAACCCCAAAATACCAAAAATTGGGGGGTATCCGTATATGGGGGATATCCGAAAAAATTGACCTATATTTATAATTTTTTGTGGAGAGATTTTGTACCTATTAAGAACCCAATGTATTAAATTTCAGCGTATTCGGTTGAAAAACGCGCTCAAGAACCCCAAAATACCGAAAATTGGGGGTACCCTTATATGGGGGCTATCCGAAAAAATGTACCTATATACATAATTTTTTGTAGAGAGATTTGGAACCTATTAAGAACTCAAAATACTAAATTACAGCCAATTCGGTGGAAAAATACGATCAAAACCCCCAAAATACTGAAAATTAGGAGGTACCGTTATATGGGGGCTACCAGAAAAAGTGGACCTATATTTATAATTTTTTGTGGAGACATTCAGTACCCAATAAGAACTCAATGTACCAATTTTCAGCGTATTCGGTTGAAAAACGAGCTCAAGAACCCCAAAATACCGAAATTTGGGAGGTACTGTTATATGGGAGCTATGCCTACACGTGGACCGATATATCCCATCTTCGAACTTGACCTGCCTGCAGACAAAAGACAACCCTATGCAAAATTTCAGCACCCTATCTCAATTCCTTCAGAAGATAGCGTGATTACAACAGACGGACGGACAGACGGACGGACAGACGGACGGACAGACGGACGGACAGACGGACGGACGGACATGGCTAGATCGTCTTAGAATTTTACCCTGATCAAGAATATATATACTTTATAGGGTCGGAAATGAGTATTTCGATGTGTTACAAACGGAATGACAAAATTAATATACCCTCCATACTATGGTGGAGGGTATAAAAAACAACTATTTATTGGTGGGGAATGTATGGCATTGTCCGCCGAGGGGTAAGGCAGGGAAGACTATAGTTTCAGATCTCGCCACTGATCCTCATCACTTCCCTTAGTTTTTTGTTGGGATATTCTCCCCTTAAGCTATTTATTGCTTTTTTACAAAAAAACTTTCATACCCAAAAGTCCCTTGTGACATTTTATTAAAAAATAATAATGTAATTATCGTTAGAACTATAGAAATTACTAAATATTAGAGAAACAATGTTTAAAACAAATACAATTTATATTGCATGGCAACACTATTTCTACAAACTACCATGTTAACTTCTGAGGGGAAGTGTAAACAAAACTCACCGTGTGTTCCAGAACATACCCGTTTGTTTCTAAAAATGTACTAAGATCGTGCTTAGGTTTTAGCCTATACTGTAGTTTTTATATGCAGAGAAAGGTCAGATTGAACGATTCTTTAATTGGCACAACTAAGGATAACGTAATAAGTGATTCTACGCTGAACATAGAAATTGAATGCCGACTTCTATTTGGATATATCGAGGAGTAGTAGTTTTGAGTAGTTGAATACTGAAGAAAAATTTCTATAATTACTTAATATTTTACTTTATTGTTTTTGTAAGTCAATTCAGAGTAGTTCTTATTCAATTGATTTTTATCTATTACTTTTAATGAATAATTATGGAGCTTGAACAAATGTAACATGAAAAGAAATACTAGTGTTTAAAATTTATATTTATACCCTACATAACTATGTTGTCAGGGCATTATAGCTTTGTGCAGCCCCAAAAGTTTGTAACGCCGCGAAATATTGGTCCTAGACCCACCTTTAAGTATACCGATCGTCATATCTCGACTAGCTAAGTCGATCTAGACATGTGTGTCCGTCCGTCCGTCTGTCCATTATAATTTGTAAACACGATACAGGCCACAGTTATGGACCAATCTTCACGAAATTTTGCATGTAGGATGGGTTCTGGCCAATGAAGACCCCTATTGTTTTTGGAAAATATCGGAAAATATCGGCTTTTATAAAAATCGGTCAATATTTAGCGGGTCAAATGGACCCTAACTTTTGTGTGAAAAGTTACAAAATTTGTATTCTATAGCGTATATATTTACCACTGAAGGACATAGACCCGAGAAGTTGATAGTATATCCGAGAGGAGTGGTTGACCTTTAAATTGATACCAATTATGTTGTCGTAGGTACTCGGATGCGGGAGTTACACTTAAATATTTACAGGTGCTTATTTATTCATATATTATTTAGTAACCTCTTACCACACTGGAGGGCGGAAATATAGCGCTGATCGCTTTGAAATGTTCCATGAGATTCCAGTTATGGTCAAGGACAACGCCTAAAATATTAGGTGATGATCAGATAATAACTTTTCGGATGAAG